TAACAAAGAACACTTAAAGTAATTAATTTATTTAACACTATGCTAAAGAGAAAGTTGTAGTATCACCACTATAACTTCTACAGTACCGTTTTGAAGCAGAGGAAGTTGAATCTTCACATGGTTAATTTAAGAAAATATGCGGCCAATAACATAAACTAAAGATAAGATCCTTCCACTAACGCAATATATTTATTTTACATCTTAATGTTGACAAATTGTTCAACTTCACATACTTCTTTAAATTTCAAAATATGAACATGGTGCTACATGAGCTTGAAATCTAAATGTAAACAAAACAATACCTGCTGGTTACAAGTCATGAGCCAAGAAAAATAAAAAAGTAACAAAAAAAGAAGAAAAAAACGAGACAGAGTCATGAACATAGTAAAATAACGTTAACATTTGCAAATCTGAATTCACTCAATCAAAGAAACATCATTCATGCGAACAGATTAAATACGAAAGAAACTTTATCAAAAGAACCAAATCAATTTGCTTCTGCTTCAATAAAGATGCTCCGACATTTTTTAACTCAAGAGCTTGAATTACATACCTACAAGAGAGTGAATTCAAATGAATAAAATCTGAAAGTTGTAGAGTCAATACAACAGCAACAACAAAATCTCTATCAACTCTTCTTCAAACCCAAGATTCAAGGCTCGAAATATTGAAAGAAAAATTTAATGAAAATTTTCAACCTAAATTTCTCTCCTACCCCTCTCTTCTTTTTTCCTTTTCTTCTCAAATTTTCTCTTCTATTTATAGCAAAATTTTCGAGATTTTTTTTAAAAAGATTTTATTATTTTATTATTTTTTAATTAAAAGAAATCCCACTTACAAATTGCTTTTATTTTTTTATAAAAAGAAATCTCACCTTTCTTTACTTTTATTTTTTAAATTCTAACTTTAATTACTTTTATCTTATTTAAAATCCCACTTTTTTTTTTTACTTTTTAAAAGAGAATTCCACTTATTTAACTTTTCTTAAAAAAACAATCCACTTTCTTTTGCTTTTCTTTTAAAAATGCTACTTTCTTTTACTTTAATTTTTTTTAATTTTCAGATACCTTTATATTTGTTTTTTAATTCTAACTTTCTTTTACTTTTTTATTTTTTTAAAATTTTCACAAAACTTTACTTTTAATTTTTTTAATTTTCTACTTTCTTTTACTTTTTAAAAGAAAATTCCACCTACTTTTACTTTTATTTTTTTTATTCAATACTTCCCTTTTTCTTATTTTTTAAATCACTCCTAAAAATTAAAAAAAAATTAATATTTTTTCGGATTTTTTTAATTATTTTAAAATAAAAATTAAATAATATTAATAGTAATAATTCACCTTTTAAATTTTATATTTTTACCCTATAATAAAAAGTGTAACAAAGCTAAAAATTATAGGTTAAAATCCCTAAAATATTTACATAGAAGAAGTGATAAAAAATTAAATATTATCAAAACTTAGGTGCTCACAACAACAATCACCTTAAAAATAGGTATGTCCAGCTATCTAAGAGAGATGAAAAACATAAATAGCGTATTTCATGCCTTAATGATAGTATATACCATAAATACTTATTTTGTTATCGAATATAAAAGATAGCTATAGAAAATAATATTTTAAAATAATTTTGATTAATAATAAATAGGCGGTATACCTTTATTATAGGAGGTAAAATTTCCTTAAAATTACAAGAGTATATAACTACTACTAGTATAAGTTAGTAAATCCTAAAATAAATTAGTTTAAACTAGAATAACGTCCATGACACTTTCACTCAAGATTTTCAGATCTGCACCCACCCACACACACAAAAAAAAGTTATTCTCTGCTCTGTCACTAGTTGTGTAGGACACTGCAACAGCTTTAATTTTCCCAAAGTACCTTAGATTTGGCTCTGTTAACTTTTGCCTGAATCTGAAGAAGAAAAGAAAATGAAGGGATTGAGCAGTGGCGGTGGAGATGTATTCAAATCCACCACTCTAATCAAATTCTTAGCCTTTACATTACTAGCCATAGCTTTCTTCTACTTCGGCAAACATTGGTCCGATGGATCTCAACAACAACAGCTCATTTTCTTCAATTCTCGTCAAAACCCCACAACTTCTCAATTTGTCTCAATTTCCCCTAATTTTAACAAAACTTTCGACTTATCATCCATAATTAACGACACCAACTTAATTCCACCGCCTGCGGTGGAGGTTGCTTCATCTCCGCCGCCACCTCCACCTCCGCCGCCGGTGGTGGAGAGGACGGGGATAGTGAATGAGAATGGAGTGATGAATGATGAATTTAAAGTGGGGGATTTTGATCCTGAAGTTGTGGAGAATTGGGGTGTGGGGAATGAGACGGTTGATGATGAAGGGGGTGGGGTCCAGAGATTTAAGGTTAAGAAGTTTGGGCTATGTCCGGCGAGTATGAGAGAGTATATTCCGTGTTTGGATAATGTGGAGGCGATTCGTAAGTTGAAATCAACTGAAAGAGGGGAGAAATTTGAGCGGCATTGTCCTGAAAAAGGTAAAGGATTGAATTGTTTGGTTCCTCCACCAAGAGGTTATCGAGCTCCAATTCCTTGGCCAAGAAGCCGTGATGAGGTGTGTGTTATATTCTGCTGAAAATTCGACATATTTTGAGGATTTGCTTTAGTTATGCAAATTATCTGAGTATAAGTTTTATGAACTTTTACAGCATCAGATCGCTTAAATAGGTCATTGTAGGTAACTCCATTTAATAAGCATTGATTGGTAACCAATAATAAATGGTAAGTAAATTGCACTGATAGTTATCTCGAAAATCATTTTTTACTTTTTCTAGTTGGATATAAAAGTTGGTTTATGGTAACATACAACATTAAAGTTTAATCTTTGAAGCATTTTAATCGGATATTGTGATGAGTTGTGTGATGTTCTCCTGAAATATTTAAGTTTTTTGCTCAAAGTTAAATTTTCGAAGCACTTTCCAGATATGGTTGTGTGATTTTGGATAGTCAATCATGGGAGGATAGACAAAGAGAAAAAGAAAATTGCAAAAGCTTCATTTTGTGGAAATTTTCAACTTTTTACCATACTGCAGGTTTGGTTCAGCAACGTTCCTCATGCACGTCTAGCTGAGGATAAAGGGGGTCAAAATTGGATAACGATAGACAAGGACAAGTTCAAGTTTCCTGGAGGTGGCACCCAGTTTATACATGGAGCTAATCAGTACTTGGATCAGATTGAAAAGGTGTTTAATTTTTCTTCTCAATTTAAACTGGTAAAAGATTGAACAAAATTCCCGTGAATTAGGCGAGGCGCGCGAAAGCTGGCCTAGACTCCACGGTTATCATAATAAAACAAAAAAAGATTGAACAAACTGGTGGTTTTCTAAATTTCAATTTTCTTTTGCGTATTATTCGCTAGATGCTTCCTGAAATTGCATTTGGCCGTCATGTCCGAGTTGCTTTAGATATCGGCTGTGGTGTGGCAAGCTTTGGTGCTTATTTACTATCAAGGAATGTGCTCACCCTGTCTATTGCTCCAAAAGACGTTCATGAAAATCAAATTCAGTTTGCTCTTGAGCGTGGCGTGCCTGCAATGGTAGCTGCAATTGCAACACATCGTTTACTGTATCCAAGTCAGGCATTTGAACTAATCCATTGTTCAAGGTGTAGAATCAATTGGACTCGTGATGGTATGCTTTTCTAGATCATGTTATTATCCATTTATACATTGTTAGCAAGTTTTCCGTGTGGTATTATGATTTTTTGTCAAGATGGTTGCATTTGAGCAACTAGTCAACCGAAGTCTGGTATCCTTGGGATAAGCACATGAATGTTGATTAAGAATCTGCTAATTGTGATAATTTCAAGCTGTAGGTTAATGGTTTATAGTTTTGATAGATTGATAAAATAACTAATTAATGTTTGTTAATGGAGACACTTTGAGTGGTTTCTGATAAGCATGTTCTTGTTGAGGACATGCTGGCTCATATGCATATGGGAAAGCGAGAATGTATTGGACTTCAGTGAATGGGTTCTTATTGAAAATAAAAAGAAGGAAACATGCTAAGCGGAAAATAGTTGGCTGAGAGAGTTATCTTGAAATGCACAGGGAACTTTTTCTCTTATTTGTATCGATGAAACGTAACAAAGTATGTAAAAACAGTTGTTTGGATGCATATTCCCCTTGGACCTTGTTGATAGTTTTTAAGTTAAGTGCTGCACTTGTAATTACTATCGGAGCTCCTTCATTTCTCATTTTCATTCATTAAGGTGACAGCTTATGGCTTTAATGTGTATCTTCTAGTGCTCTATAGACAGCTATCTTTTCTAGATTAGGAGCACCGTACCCTTTATAGTCCGGAATTAAAAAGCAAAATGTTAGTTTTTTAACTCAAGATACGATTTTTGTTTGTCTGGATTCCCTCTCTTTGTTAGAACGTGTATTGTGAACTTACTAAGAGATTAATATCTCAATTTTAGCCAAGTCTGCTGATTTTTATTTAGCTGTTCATGTATAAGAGAGTCTCTAACTCGTGCCTTCATCCTCTGATGCACTTTTGCAAAGATGGGATTTTACTACTGGAGGTGAACAGGTTGCTCCGTGCTGGTGGATATTTTGTTTGGGCTGCACAACCTGTTTATAAGCATGAAGCAGTCCTGGAAGGACAATGGGAAGGTAATTGCAAAGTTATTTAGCCCGTGTCATCAATTTTAAAATGAATAAGAGAGGAGGAATCACCAGACTCTAGGCAATTCTCCACTTTTTGGTAGACATACTCATTAGTGGTTTTCCAGAAGTTCCTATTAAAGGCCATACCCACGAAAAACATTTGACAGTATTGGTATAGAAAATTAATGTCAAAATCAGTTTTCAGCGCATCCTTTCTTCGGACAGAAGTGAAGCGGCTTCTAAAGAAAACTGACTCCAATTGAATTCTTCTAATTAATTATTTTTCCATTTTAAGTCTAACTTCTACTTTATTGATGAATAAAACAAAATTTTGACAAATGAATAAAACGATAGGGAACACTGCATTTTGTATCCATGTTCTCTTTCAAACTGAACTGTCACTCCACCCTCCAATTGTTGAAACTAAAGTTACTAGCAATCTTTTGAAACTAAGGCAACTTTTTCCTATAAACTATATCATGCTCTTCTAGTTCTTGAAAACTTTCTGCACTGCAGGTTTAGTAAACCATTGCTACAACAAATCATAATATTTTTCTTGTCCTTTCCTCAACCAGAGATGGTCAATCTTACCACTCGTCTTTGCTGGAATCTTGTGAAGAAGGAAGGCTACATCGCTATATGGCAGAAGCCCTTAAATAACAGTTGTTACTTAAGCCGCGAGGAAGGAACCCAACCACCTCTCTGTGACCAACATGATGACCCAGACAATGTTTGGTAATATTCTACTGATCTTGCTGGTTTAAAGTTCTATTTTCTTTCTATCAAAGTGGACAAAGGTTCCGAATTTCAACCCCATCCCCGTTCGTCCTCTACTGTTTCCCTCCACTCGTAATGCATAGGCCGATGTTTTAGCAATTGGATGTGGTTCCCCGTGAGAAGTACCTTTCCTTCACAGTAGAAATCATTTAAGTTATATTGGCATTTCGTATCAAGGTACATTAAGGCATTTTTACAGATGGGCTTCACTTTTTCCTTTTCATGTTTGAGAGCAGAATAAGAATATATATATTTATCTGTTTGTGTTTATTCTCTCATAGAGTATAATATTCAGAAGAGAGCGGAGATTGGGGTCTGTATTTAATAGGACTTCCTCTGTAGAAATTATTTAGGCATTTTCTTAGGACCCTGTTCATTGAAGTAAGCTTAATTGGAGAGAGAATATGTGAGGATTCATATAGCCGGCCCCAACTTGCTCGGTATTGAGGCATAGTCGTTGGTAAATTGATTGGAGTTAGACTATCAAAATAATTTTGATATTAGCAAAAGTTTCAATGGTGCTTTTAGTAATGGCCTACCGGTTAGTTCCAACTTAGAGGGTGTTTAAATTGGCTTTTAAGCTGGCCAAATCAGCTTTGAAGCTCTTTTTAGCTTTTTTCAGTATTTGACAAAGTTAAAAAGTGCTTAAAATAAGTTAAAAACTACTTAAAACAAGCCAAAAGCAATAAGCTGGGCAACCACAACTTATTGCTTTTTGGCTTAAAAGCTATTTCTGCTGAAAACTCACTTTTTTAAGCCAATCCAAACGGACTCTCACTCTCATTGCATGATTTTGATTAATGGCATGTCTGGAGCCTGAAAAATGATTATCAAGCTTAGTCATTTTGGCTTCATCTTTCCTAGTTATAACAACTCCAACTTGCACTTCGCCTACTTGTAGCCTGATAACACTAAACAGTACTTGCCTTTGTGAAACTAATAACTTGTTCTCTAGGAGATGGTTGTTGAAAAAAAAAATCAGCGGGGCATGTTAACAGCGTAAACATCACTGAAGGCATTTCAAACTCAATCAATAGCTTATCATGCGTTAATGATTCTCATTCCATGTAGACATTCCTTTCATTCTGCCCCTGGATGATTTCTTTTTCACTATCACATTTAGGTATGTTGATCTGAAAGCATGTATTGCACGGCTGCCTGAAGAAGGATATGGCAAGAATATTACGACATGGCCTTCACGCCTGCAGTATCCTCCAGATAGACTCAAGAGCATACAAGTAGATTCTTTTGTGTCCAGGAAAGAGCTTTTCGTGGCAGAGTCAAAGTTCTGGAAAGAAATAATTGAAAGCTATGTCCGTGCTTGGCATTGGAAAAAGTTCAAACTTAGAAATGTGATGGATATGAGAGCTGGTTATGGAGGGTACTGTATTCCATCTCTGTTGGTTTCCTCTTTGTCATTATGCACTTCAATTGTCTGATCAGCATTTTGCTTCTAAAGTTTGTCGAAAGAATTATATCCTATCAATTGTTTTTTTTCAACAGATTTGCAGCAGCATTAATTGAAAATCAACTGGATTGCTGGGTTCTAAATGTTGTCCCTGTTAGTGGTCAAAATACCTTACCTGTCATCTTTGATCGTGGACTACTTGGAGTCATGCATGACTGGTAAGAGTGCTCATCCTTCGCAGCATTTTATTAGTTGTTAGCATTTACCATTTGATCATTCTTGTATCTTACATTAGCAATACCAATATGACATTGGAAAAAAAAGGGAGAAAAAGAAATGAAGAAGAAAAGGAAATAATTCTTGTGACTCTTTTGTCTGTATGCATAACCTAGAAGATATACTAGTCTGACATCTATTACAGGCTGTCCTTGCCAACATGAAGAAATACAAATCCTTAGGGAACATACAATGGATTCTGTAGAAAGTAGGTTGCACGAAACACATACATGACATTCTTATCTCTTATCTCGACATGTGATTATCATTTGATCCGTTTTTCAGGTGTGAACCATTTGATACTTACCCAAGAACGTATGACTTATTGCACGCTAATAGTCTCTTCTCCATTGAACAGAAAAGGTACAGCTTCTTACCGATTCTTTATTCACAGATGATATTGTAGTCCAACTCTGCATTCATGGATCTCATGGCTTGTGCGGAGTAGGGCTCGTAAAATAATGATTTCTGTGAAGTAGGACTGTCTGCCAAAGAAAACGATGCCTGATCTTGTGTTTGATTTATATGTACCAGATGCAACATGTCCACGATCATGCTTGAAATGGACCGAATATTGAGGCCAGGTGGACGAGTGTACATCCGTGATTCTGTTGCTGTAATGGATGAACTTCAAGATATTGGGAAAGCCATGGGTTGGCATGTAACTCTCAGAGACACATCTGAAGGTCCTCATGCAAGTTACAAGATATTGACATGTGACAAACACCTTTTACGAGCCTGAGTTAAGAAAGGAGAAATCAACGTTTGTGTCTGCTCATGTGCTTTTATTTGAAGACCAAGAAACTGCAGGGACATGTCAAAACTCATATCTCCGCGGCTAAATGAGCTGAAAGATGCTTGCCAATATGACGGTCCGGCTTTTGTCAATGGCTGTTGTTTGAACCATGTAGCATATGACATGTACAGCATAAGGTGATATAGTTTCACACGGTGGAAATATATTTTACGTTACCAACAGGAGAAATTTACTTTGTAAAAGGATAGGCGTGAATAGCTCCATTGTTGTATTTGTTTTAATTTATTATCTGACTATGAGGGTTTTTTAGTCATAAGTTTTGCTGTTTACTGATTCCAGTGGAGAATCTGTGTTTTAAGTCATCCATTTATTTACAACAGATGTACTGATTTTTACTTGAGCTGAGTAGGTAATCACTTGATTATTTCCTGCAGAAAATAGTACCTGTCTATTGACTAACGGAGGGGTAAGTACTCCTTCATTCTTAACGAGAGGTATCAGATCCAAGTTCCTGGGTATGAAGTTGCCTTTGTTAGGGAGCGCTTTACTTCCAATGTGGGACTTTTCGGCGTGAATCCAGATTTAATCGGGCTCCAATGTGGGTACCGGACACCGGTGGAGAAACAAAAAAAACCTCTTGACACTTGGAAGATGCCATTTTGACTTTTATGATCTTTAGAAGATAAATAAGATAATATTCAAGGTACTTCACACAGCGTACTTTAACTGCATAACAGTAAATTATTATTTTTTATTTATTACTACATAAACATAAGAATAAATAAGTTTTTTAGTTTTGCCGATTTTCAAGTTTTTTCGATTTTCATTCATATGAAAGGGCTAAAATATTTTATTTTGGCTTTTTACTCCCTTTATAAGGTGGATCCCGAAAGAAATAAAAGATCTTATAAATTCAATTCATTAGAGTTTAGAATAAAATTTTACATATGATAATATATGTTTAACAATAATCAAACAAATAAATGAACTTATTATCTATTGAAACATAAAAAGAATCTCCTCATTCTATGATTCGAATCTTGAATTTTATGTTAAATTCATAGGTGTATGTACATGTACCAATCATATAAATTTTGTTCCGATGGGACCAATACAACCCAAAAAAAAAAAAAAAAAAAAAAAAAAAAAAAAAAGCAATATGAGTCGATCTTGAAATAATTTATTGCATTTTCCTTAGACTTGCTAGGTAAATTTGTTTTGTTGTTCAATATTAAACGACTAAATACTCGTATGTATCTACTACATATACTTATGGTTGACGAAGTTATACCACTGCAGAGCCCAATTGTCATTCTTCCATTACTCAAATCGCTCGTTACAATATAGGGAAATTCCCTATATTACAGGTTATGTCAGCCTATAAGTAAGTTAGTACAAAAATTAGTCAATTCATAAAATATTAATTAGCTATTTGTAGCCAAAAAAATATCAATTTTTTGCTTTTTTTGAGTGGGTGTTGATGGAATAGATTAAATACATCTTAAAGAGTTTAAATCTCAGTTTTGGGATGATTTGGTAGAGTTTTGAGATGGTTTGAATTGAAAATTCGAAATAGAATATGAACATGGAAAAAGATGATATGCGTATCACACTGTGTATCGTTTGTATATCACATATGTGTATTAATGTGTATCACACTGTGTATCGTTTGTATATCACATATGTGTATTAATGTGTATCACATGGATATCCATGTATACATGTGTGTGATACATCGTGATACATGTTAGATACATGGTCGCAGAAGAATTTTTTGAACTCGATTTTAACCACGAATTTTAATACCAAAGTAATCCAAATCACTTCCAATCTTCCTCAAAATTTGTATATTGACTCATATATATATATATATTCAATGAATTTCAATCATACCCATAAAAAAAATGTCTGTTTTTGCTTAGATTTTTGGAATCTNTTTTGAGTTGGTTTGAATTGAAAATAAGAAGTAGAAGATGAAACATGAAAAAAATCGATATGTGTATCACACTGTGTATCATTTGTGTATCACATATGTATCATATTTGTATCAAATGTGTATCACATGTATATCCACCTATACATGTGTGTGCGATACATGCATGATACATTTTTGATAAATGTGTCGCAAAAAAAATTTTTGAACTCGATTTTAACTACGAATTTTGATACCAAATCAGTCCAAATCACCTCCAATCTTCCTCAAATTTGTATATTGACTTATCTATATGTTTTCAATGTATTTCAACCACACCCATTGAAAAAAATCCCTTTTTGCTTAAATTTTTGGATTATTATATATATATATTGTATTTCATCACCTTGTTTGCTACCTCATCCATGAAATTTTCTTTCCGTCTTGCATCTAATGTTGTTGATCACGCTTAAAAATATGGAAGGAGATATTTGCATGTGATTCTTGGAGAAAAAGAACCTTATTTATTTGAGTTTTTAATTTTTATATGTGCTTGACTAGTTTTAATACGTTTATGACTAATGACTAAAGATTGGTAAGTTGAAACTTATTTGGGACATTTATGTAAGATTCCCAATAGATTGCAGTAGCTGATTTTATAAGGCCTTGCTTGTGGCCCAAATAATAAATCGCAGTAAGGGAGTCCATGACTGACCTAAATGGGCTGCAACATGAACTAAACTCTATTACTGAATTCTACTTTATTTTTTGGGATTTACAAATAGCACGTCGAATTTAATGTCTACTTTTTCTAGCCAGTATACATAGATTATATATATTTATGCACATATTTGGCTGAGGAAGAGTTATGAACCGTAAATCAAAGAAATACGATCATCGAGCATATTATGTGTAATGATTCCCCCACTCACGATTAACTATTTCGATAATATATCCAAATTTCCTCCCTCTTAGTTGAAAAGAATTCCTATGGATCCAACAAATAACGTAAAGAGTCAGGGACCAACCATAAAACCCTGTTCAATAAGTGGAAAGCATTAGTTGTCCGCTCTTAAGTTGGGAGTCAAGGTCGAAGAAGGACAATAACGCCAAGCCATATGTGGAATAACTCCAAATATAACAGAAAAAACAAAACGTGTAGGTGAATCGACTCATCAAGTTTTTATGAAAGTAGTATCCAACGTCTTACCTAAGTTAAATATTGTATAATTGTTTGATTTCCATAATTTTCTCCATCCCTTTTGTGTAAATAATATAATATTGGCTCACAATTGATAACATCTTTACCATCTAGAGCAACAACAATGAGTTGAAGAACCCCGTATATTGATGGGTGTTAAGGCCCCATATTAACGATCATGAGGTCTTTTCTTGTAGTTGGTGCATTATTATCTATAAATTATACATATATTATATATTCGGAGGTTTTGGTTTGTCCATTTATGGGCATTTTGCCTTAAAATTAACGACGTACATGTTAATATTACATAATTTCACTATTTAACAGTAGGTATTGTTTCAGCGACCACACTTGCTTCAGAAATCTATCAACTACCCCTTTAACTGGAGGTCTCGTGTTCGAGCTCTGGGTATGAAAAAAATCCTTGGTAAGGAGCGCTTCTCCCCGAATGAGGCCCTGCGCGGCGCGAATTCGGATGTAGTCAAGCTCCAATGCGGGTACCGGACACCGGGTGGAAAACCGAAAAAAAAAACAAACAGAATTATTCAAAAGAAGTGACCTCCGTCCATTTCGCATTTACTTCATTTAAAATAAATTAAAACAGTCAAAAATCTCAAAAAGATAGTGGGAAAATCTTGCACAATAAAGAGTGATGGGAAATTGGTTGAGTATATATAAATAGGAATAAGGTTAAAAGAATGAAAAATGTAGTCAAAGTCAAGAAATAAAGGTAGTTTTTAGGAATCCGATGCTTTTCGTATTCTTTAAATCTCCAATATCAAAATCTAACATTGGATAGGAATATATCAAAGGAATAAATAATAATCACCTTAATTTTTTGATATTTTTTTATTATAAAATTTTGACTTAAAACTATTATAGCTTATAAATTTGAGATTTTATTTTTTCAAAATTGAGGAATCGATATCTAGTTTTAGACTATAAATGACATTTTGACTCTCATAACTAAATTTGATTCTTTTTTCTTTTTTTTTTTGGATCGAAAAGTAAAATAGAAGTGAAAATAGCACATGCTAGCCAGTTTTCGGACTGGTAATTGAAAAATAGCCAGTATTTGTAAAGTTATTAAAAAATAGTCATTATTTTACTGCAACACGGAAAGTGAAATAAAACCTCCTCTGATATATTGTTGAAAAGACTTTCATGTTTAGCGTGAAAAGAAATCCTGAAATATATGGCAACCTCACATTTAAATAACATGTCATATGTTTATTAATTTGATGTAAATATCGAGTGTGAGTAACTTTTTTCTGTTATTGAATAACTAGCTCAGTTAAAACTTAAAAGGACGAATTAATTGGGTTAGACCAAGTTAAAGTATAAAAATGAGTCTTGATCAAAATTTTCTAAAGTTTTTAGATCAATCTCGTTTGAGGTACAAATATATTGAATTATGGAGCATAACCTAATTCACCAAAAATCTTGAACTTTTTCAAAAAAAAAAATAAAAAAATCCAACGAGTAACATCTTCTTTTATTGAGAGATAAATAAAAGATGAAAAAGTCATACAATCATGCACGTATAAAAATAAATGGATATAACAATATGGCAAAGATCATTTGAGCCCGCGACCGTAATTATTTATATTCAGTAGTCACAGAGGTTTATATATATATATATATATCAGCTCTTATTTTGAGAATGGTCGTATAGTATTATTTTTCCTAAATATAATACAATAGGATTCGAAACTTGGAATATTTTCTTATTGACATTAATGATGTTAAATAATGGTAGGAATTGACCTTAATGATTTATTGCCTAACCAAAAGCAGAAGAGTTCGGAGTTTGATTTGTCGAAATTCCTATAATAATGACATGTCATGCCATTATATAAATCTTTTGTGACGAGTATGAAGCTCTTTTACGGTTTATAATAGAATAAATAATATTAGTATGACACCAACATCATGTATTAGTTGGGACTTAAAACAGATTGGAGATCGCTAAGATACCAAAAATAATTAGCCACAATTATGTATTGGTCAAGCTTACCTTTAATACATGTCTAAAAATTTATTTGTATTGTCATATATATTTAATCGTCCATCAAAGATAAAAATAATAAACTCAAAAATGAGGTATACTTCCTATAATAACAACAACAAATTCAGTGTAATCTCACAAGTGAAGTCTGAGGAAGGTAGTTTGTATGCAGATCTTAGCTCTAACTGATAAAGATAGAGAGGTTGTTTCCGATAAAGCATCGATTCAAGAAAAAGTGAAAAAAAAATAGTAGCAACAAATCATAACAACAACAACAACAACAACAACAAAAATAAGATAATAGAAGCGATCGAAGTCCAATTTTAATGTATATTGCTATAATCATAATATTTTCTTATTGTCAATATAGGTAACTGTTAAATCATTTTTTAAAATCACTGCACTCCCTTTCACTTATTTGGTGTCTCTTAAGATATTATTATTACTTCTCTTGCTTCTTTTGTTGTTAGATATCTCTTCTTTCGTTTCTTTTATGATATTATTGTCTCTTCTGTTGAGCCGAGGGTCTCCCGAAAATAGCCTTTCTATCATTTCGGAGTAGGAATAAAATTTGCGTATATCCTACCGTCTCCAGATCTCACTAGTGAAATTTTACTGAATATATTATTGTTGTTGTTAATCTTAGTAGGCAACCCAATTTTAATGTACGAAAACAGTTGTACAATCTTTGTTGGTTAATTGACACCACCCAGACATCCACCAATTAATTTTTCAAGAAAGCATAAAATGAAAACATCTTGTGAGTTGGGACCACAAAAAGAAAAGAGATCTTTACGCAAATAATCGGACAGATTTGATGTTTATTTTTTTTAGTAGACATATATTATATCCTTTTAATTATACAAATGTTATTTCTGATTTACATATATATTATATATTTGTAGGCTATTTTCAGTTTAAGCTATTCAAATAGATTGATATTTAAGTTAATTTTAAAAAAAATACGAAAAATCTGAAGAATAAAGATCTGTAGTGCTTTATGGTAACGTAAACTATGAAAACTCCAAATTAAATATATTAGGTTTGACCTAATTTATTCATCTGTTGTTAGAAGAAAAAAAAAAACTGTTGTTAGCAAGATAGTTTGGACGAACGTGGATTTAATTAAGTCATAATATATAGTTATTAAGTATTTGTTTGTTGCAATTGTCGGTTAATTGTTTTACGTTCTTAAATTAAACTCCTAATTTGACAAGTGTCTGGATAATAAAGATGCAGAAGTTCATATGATATCTAAATTATTTGGTATGTGATTAGTTTATTGTATGCTTTACTATGTGCATTAGCCCTCCAAATTAAATATTCTGCTTATTTTTCTTAAGTCAAGTTTTCGGTCGTAACTTTTTAAATATCTTTAAAGTAAAATGACATTTTATACGATTTTTTCTTATAAAAATTGTGAAATTAACTTAATGCTTATTTCATATACATCAGCTAGTATCGACACTTGAATATTTCACGTTAATTATTTTAAGTAATATTTAGGACAATCCGGTACACAAGTATTCCACGTTAACACTTCTAAAATAAAATTCTAAATAAGAAATTTAATTTATGGGACAAAACATATAAATTGATTCGACCACTATAGAATATGGTGCAATGATTAACATTAATTCATCCTTAACTAAAAGTCAATTTTTCGAAAATACTATCTCATTTAGTAAATTTATCTGACGCAAATTAAATTAATCAGTCTAGCAAATTAATTCTGTTAGAGAATATTTTTCTTTTTAATGAATTTTTTACTATATGAATTTAAATTAATCAAAATCCCAATGTAACTATTAAACACCGAAACAAAAATTTGATCCCTTTAATTCATAATTTCACGAGTCTAAATATATAATTAATTTTTAAATTCAAATCTAAATCAATTAATAGACATGAATTCCTTTTCCAACAAAAGATCCCATTAAAATGAAAAAGTAATAGAGCTCTTCCCCAACTAAATAAAGGACCACAACCATATATTTCTAAAAAAAGAATTAATTAAAAAATTGAAGAAGGTGATGAATAGACAGAAGCATTACGTGGAAGGCAAAGATGGGGTGAAGTTTACATTTCAATATTTCATTCCAACAAAAGCAGATTCGAATCGGTAAGTGGACCCCATGTATCCTAATTCCCATCTATCATAGACTTTGCGGCATCCAGCTATTAAATACGGATTTTTACACAAATAATTGATAAAATTCATTATTTATTTTTCTAATCGATATATATAAATTATATAAAAGAAGAGCATTGAAGCAACGGTAAAATTATCTTTTTTGACTTACATGTCACGGACACACAGGTTCGAATCAAGCAGTTATTAATGTTTGCATTGGAGTAATCTTTCCATGTCACTCCTTAAGATACGATCATTTTCCGAACCCTGCATGAACATAGGCGAATCCAGAATTTGAAGTTTGTGGGTTCCTTTCATAATCTCAAATTAGTATGTAATAATAACTGAATTCACAGTTAAATATATATAGGTATTTAGTGGATTTTTAATAAAAATACAGGATCTACACAACAATTAATAGGGTCCCAAGAACCCATATACTATACTCTAGATTCGTCATTGTGCATGAATACATGATATTTTATACAAAGATTATTATTTGTCGATTTTTTTATTTAATTTAAATGATTAAGTAAACGACTATTAATGTTAATTTTTCCCATTAATAATTAGACTAGCTCTAGCTAACTTCCACAATCCACATCCATGCCAAGTTGACAACTATCTATCCTATCTATACATTATATTATGGTCCCCATAAAAAAGGCCCATTGTTCCCCGTATCAACTTCATTTTCTCTCATTACATTATTGACCACCCATATATTCTTTCTTTCTTTTTTTCTCATAGATAAGAAATTATATTTTCACCTTTACAAGAAATTTTGGGTAAATATGTGTCAATTAATTCTCATTATAGGCACACTTTAAACTAACATGAAGTGTACCATGTAAAGAAAAGGGTGTATGTATTTGACCTTTAACCATCTACCCAATTACTCCTAGGTATTTTCTCCTATATTTTGATTTCAACATTATTACCGAACGAATAGAATGTATTTTCTCCACTTATTCGAGAAGAGGAGCATTAGGTGGCCTCACGAAAATAGAAATACTTCCTCCGTTTCAATTTATGTGAACCTGTTTGACTGGGCACGAAGTTTAAGAAAAAATGAAGTCTTTTGAAATTTGTGGTCCTAAACAAGTCAAAAAGGGGCCCAGAATATTTGTGTGGTTATAAAAGCTTCTCATTAAAGGTAAAATTATAAATTTAAACTAAATTGTTACTAAATTTAGAAAGGGATTCACATAGTCACCCGATTGTTATTCCAATTAGCTGATTAATTTATGTGACCAGCGAGCGAGGTATTTTTTTTCTTTTCTTTTAATCAATTTTCCCCCCAGATATTGTCCCATTAGGATAAATTGCATTGAATACAAATTTTACAAATTTAATTCTTTTTTCTGAAATTCCATGTTAAGGTAGAAGTGTTGTTTCCAATCAACTATTTAGGGTGGTACGAAATGATTAAATATCTTTCCAATTTGAAGCCAAGTTATTTCATTTATCCGAGCACAAATCCAAACTAGTCAAGAGTATAAAATGGCTGGCGGTGTGAGTGTGCATTCCACATTTCACATCAACTATGAGACAGTTGTTCCCCAATAATTCACTATGGGGAGAGAAAACTAAAATAGAATATTAAATTTCTATATTTCACATAAAATTTAAGACAGTTGGAGAAATCAGATCTATACAATTTTTATCTCCATTTCTGCAAAATATTAGCAGTAATAATATAGGAGGCTAGATCAAAAGATCAGCTTTGCTCTGAGCTTCATAAATCATAACAACCCATGTTAATTAAAACCTAATAAATTGAGTTTCCTTCTTTAAGAAAACCCTTAAAGATAAATTACTAGATACGTACAACCTTAGAAAATTAAAAATAAATAACAAAAATATACACTTAATACTATAATGTTACAAATCTTTTCTTAAATCAACCACAACAACGCTAACATTATCAGTACTGTGCCTAGCCAAGGCCAATTTGGTCAAAAGAATCGATGCATCTGAACACAACTGGTCGGAGCTTTCTCCGGCACCGGTCACAGTGACGTCATTTTCCGGCGGACCCTGTGGGGATGGTGGCCTCCTTGATTGCAAGCACATACGAGCCACGCCGCAAGCGGTCTCGTTCGAGACAACATCCCATAGTCCATCGCTGGCTAATATCAAACACTCGTCTTCATCGGTTCGTTCTGTGATGGTCACTTCTGGTTCCGATATAACATATGGTTTCAAATAATTGTCACCAATTGCTCGTGACATAGCTAAAACTCCAAGCACTCTTGGCCCATCCCAATAAATAACACGGCCACCAGCTTCTTGTATCCTATTCAATTCATCTGGCCTATCAGGCTACAAAACAAACATACACACTATTATAAGAGGGCGACTCAATAAAATTAGTGGCATAAAATCAAATTTTATAAACTTAGGAGAGGGATTTGAATCTATGCCTCACCTTATGATCGATGGAAAGAGGAATCGCAACGCCATTTCTACAAAGCACAGCACGAGAATCACCGCAATTAGAGACGATAATCTTCTCGGAAGTAACCACTGCGACAACAGCAGTTGACCCGACTGCATCACACTGCGGAGTCTGAAGCTCGCACCTACAATTAGAGCTCGATCCACCTACAGCTCCACTCGAATAGTGGACAACTTCGTTATCCATTTGAGAGAAGCTTTTTGTCATCACCTCCTTCCACTGGGTTTCTCCTTTCTCCACCTCGTTTTTCACTATCTCGTGCATTCTATCTTTGCATTTCATAGCCACCTATAAAAAAAATCAAACAAATTCAGCAAAACTACAAACAAAAGAGAGAGAGGGAATAGTTCAGAGTCGAATTTGCAAAAATAATCTTACATGCGAACAGCCGTGCCCGTCGTATACACCATAGAAATGTAAACTGTTTGAATTTTCATTTTCTCCCTTGCAAAACGAAGGGTGAACTGCTACTGCATCTTCCATGTCGCGTCGTCTTCCACATACAGAAGTTATACCAAACTTAGACAGATTATTATCACCAGCAACAACCTCAACACCATCAACTTTAACAGACGAAACATCAGATTCCGACAGATCCAAAGGTTTAGCGTCAAATTCTTTCTCTGCTACCTTCTCCGTTACACCCAACGGAGACATCAATGAAATCGTCACACTAGTTTCCAACTTCCGTCTCTTGCTTTGATCTACAACTTTCTCCACTTTGTGTCGTTTCGTTCCGTTTTCCAACGGTGGAGCTAAACGGAACTGATGAATCTCCATACGACGTCGTCTTGCAGCTTCTGAACTTGGCTCAACTGGAGTTGTAGCTTCTGTTTCAGTTAAATTAACACCACAACACATCCCAGCCATTATATTTTTCAAATTAATCTTTTTTATTACAATTTTATGACAGAAGATTGAATGAATAAAAAGCTGAAAATTAATCAATGAAAAGAGATACGAGAAATCTTTGAGGAGTAGACTGGAGAGGACCCATAAAAATGAAGCTTTTAGGTACAGAGGAAAGACCAAATTATAGTGGGGCTAATTTCGGGCAGCTGCCCGTCACCGTCCAGGGCAGATTTTGACACGTCTAGTTGTTGTGACGTAAGATTCTGAATCGAAGACACAGATCTTGACCGTCCATTTGTTAACAGATTAAGACCACGTGTGGATCAGATTTTATATTAAAAGCTTACGTGGGCCAATGAGAGAGCGACAACATAATTAGCTTGCTGTCCTGACACGCATGTGGTACTTAGGACAACCACACCGATTATTCGCCTTTCGATCAAAAATATATTTTACCTTTCTTTTTCAGGAATATGAAACGTGGCACGATCGTAGAGTACGAGATTTGTGTTTGCTCTACACGCCTTTCTAGCGTTTGACTAACACCACCTTCTTTGGCAAAAGGTCAACTATGGGAGTAAAAAACTTCTATAATTTGTCTACTTATTTATGTTGGTTTTCCTCATTTTAATGAGGAATTATAACTTAAATGCATTTAATATCACTATGTTATGTGAGTTCTTCCCCGTTTCTAGAGTCTAGACCAAGAATTTTAATCTTATGCGTACTGAATTACAGAATGATGATTTTTTATTTTTATATATTTTTTTCACTATCGTTTTTTTTAACATTGTTGTAATTTTGCTTTTCTTGATTCGAGGATATATTGAAAATTATTTCTCTACCTTCACAAGGTAAGAATAAGGTGTGCATACACATTATTCACTACAGACGCTATTTTTGAAATTATACTGAGTTTATTTTTGTTATTGCTAGTCTGTCCAAAAAAGAATGTCATCAATCTATATTCAAAAATAATTTAACTTTAAAATTCTCTTTTTATCCTTAATTAGGTGATTTACAACCACACAAATATAAGGCTAATTTAGATGATAAATTTTTTAAAAAAATTATTATGTCCTTTTTCTGCTCCGAATTTTAATCAAATGATGCTATATAAATTAAGATGGAGAAAGTGCTATTTATGTAACGTCTTGTGTTGATATTTTGTTGTGAGCTAGGAGTAATAAAATTGTACACCTTATTCAAAATAAATTAAAATTTTTTACTCAAATCTCCCACGGGTGCTAAAATCACTCCAAACGCCCGCTAAGATCAAAGCTCAACTAAGGGGAGCGTGAGCAACACGCCCAAAGGACTGCAAGTGGGAATAGAAGCTGATTGTTGGAATTAATTCTTTGGTATCACTCCAGTTGTTAAACACTAAAAGCGTCTACGTAACAAACGGAGATATTAGAAAAGAGCGTGGGGACCACATATGTCAAACATCAAATTGACGCTTAAGACAGAATATCTGAAGTTTGATCATCCCAGAAAACTCAACACGTGTCCTATGTGACGTGGAGATGAAGCTGCTAAAAACTTTCTCGTCTTGCTATTTTACTCTCTACTCGACACGTTTGGTGCTTTCTTATTTAATTGTGCCAACCCCTCACCATTTTGGAAATGGTAAAAAGTGAATTGGGAGGATGTATTTAGGGGCGTCCACATGATTTTGCTATCGCGGATACCATTACATTCAATATATAAATTTTATATTATTCACAAAAATTATTTTGAAAGTATATATTAATTAATTATTTATTTTGGATCACAAAAAAAAAACATAAAATTACTTATTTTAGATCGGAGAAAATATTATTTTTTTTCATACTCAAGATTCGAATGTGAAATCTATAATTAAGGATAAAGAAATCTTATCTATTTCAGTATAATATTTGTTGGTGGAGGTTATATCTCCCACTCACCTAGTCTATCCATCGCGCGGGCAGCGAGATAGAGTTTTATAGCCGCTTTATTTGCCTGAAGTCGTGTAAACCAGACCGCATGCCTATTGAAGAATGAGCCAGCGATTCACCCACCTTGTATTCCTTCTATTTCGATTTGTGTGGCCTTATTTAAAATAAATGAATATAAATAAAAAGTATCACATAAAATAAAATAATAAAAATTTATTTGAAAATTCTTTTCGTTATAACTTATGTGACATTAATGATCCATTATAACAAAAGACATATTTTTATATTTATAAATAATTTAATACAAACTTCTTATTTTATTTTTATTGCAAAGTATTAATGCAACATAAATATTACTATGACATATTTAAAATTATATCTTTCAAAAGTATTATATCCATACAAATATTATAGCATGTTAATCCCATAAGTTTTAGAAATATTTAATTTTTTCTTAAATTCAGTAACAAATCAAATAGGTCCCGTATCTTGGAAAAGAGAAAGTACCACACATCTTAAATTTGAATTTAAATGACCTCCTCTCAATGTTTCTCATTTTGTTAGGTTAGAAAACACAATTAAGGTTATTAACTTTGGTTTTATGAAAGCAAATCTAAAGTAGTGTTTGACGTTTGCTTTTCCTAGTGAAAAAAATTACATGTTTTTAAATTAAGGCTTTTATCTTTTGATTTGGTATCATCTAAAATTTTGTGTTTTAAGAGTTAGAGATGTTGCGAATTTAGCCGTCGTTTGAAAATAGATTTGATTGAAATTTGAAAAAAGAGTTTTTGAAATTGTGTTGAAAAATTAGTTTTGAAAGTTGAAGTTGTGTTTAGATATGCATTTTATTTGAAGAAAAGTTAAAGTTTTGTGGCTGGCAGAAAAATTTTCACCCAAAATACCCTAAACCAGTTTTTCGGAACTTGAATTTTTTTGAATTTTCCCCCAAAACATGATCATATTTCATAAACAAACAATATATTTTTTTTTTTTTTAAATAAAGCTAAATCTATGACCAAACGGGAGCTTAGTCTAGAGAAATAATTCATAAGAGACACGTTGAGAATTTTGTCTAGAGAAATATAATTTGTAAGAGACAAGTGTTAGTTGTCGCTACGAATCTTGTCAAGAGTAAACTTCGACATTTAACAATATTTAGAGCATTAATTCTAAGGTTGTACCTCTTTCACATTATCTTTAAGTAGTATAATGCTTATGTCACTCGATACATAGTTTAATCAACAGAATTACGTATATCTTTGTATCTTCTATAGTATATTTCTCTCTCTCTCTCTCTCTCTCTCTTTTTGAATTTACTATATTCATTAAATATATTATGCAATTGTTCCCACGTACACAACAAGCTTAACACTTGCTTGTGCCTGCTTAAGACACATATTGCTTTTGCCTCGCTTGATAGGGCAACTCTTTAAGTTCTTCTCTTGGTCTCCTCATCGTTGGACTTAGCGTAGATATGCAAAAGGATATAACTCGATCCGAAGCATTAATAGGTGAAGATTATTCAAAATTATATTGTTTAACCAAAAATAGTTTCTCGGTCAAAGTTAATATTCAGAAAAAAACGGGTTATCGATAATTAAGGTTTACTTCATTTTCCTGACAACTTTAAGGAGAACGGATTGTAAAATGGAAATGAGTAACAAAAAGATTAAATTGTCAATTAATATTCGAAATCAACACTTAGAACTTGTGGAGTAAGCAAAGAAAATAGTATGTATTTTAGTAATAATCGTAACATGTCCTTACAAATGAGATTCTCGTCCTTATATAGGAACTTACAATCATAACGGTTCCCACACTTAATTTGGGTTTGTTAATGATATTAAATATATTGATTGCCCATTACCATATATATCCATAACTGATATATTTATGACTAAATTTTTTTTGTAACTGCTCCGATTTCCCTTCCTTATTTACTTCTGGTTCGTGCATCTTCCCTTCTTTTTAGTTTTCATTCATTTCGTTCTTGTTTCCCTTTTGACAACTATCAGGTCCAATTCTTTTCTCTGCGTCATCCCGTGGGTGTTTCTCTAGTACCTTTCGTGCTCTCTTAATTCAGTTAATTGAGAATGCCACTTGTCGCTATATAGGCATTCCACACATCATGCATCGTCAGCTTACTGATGTTTCATGTGTCATGTCTTTTTTTTACCAATATAGATAGTCTGCCCACTTTCTGAATATTCTCAATTGAATATTTGAAAATGGTGAGTTTTATGACGGGAATTCCTTGTCGCCGTTTCGAGTATCATCATGTCTCTTATCGAATCGATTCGCTGTATGTCACATTTATTTAATGCTCGTGCCACGTGGCTTCTCACGATTGGATATGCAGTTTCTCAGTGCCTTTTAGGGTTTTTCTACAACTGTATCAGTCACGAAGTGACGACTCCATTAACACTTCATAATGACCAACTTTAATGACAGTTGTATCTCCTTATAAATACCTCATTCCTTTTGATTTTTTTGGAGTCTTCCTTCTTCAATACCCATTACCTTATTCCTTTTCTGTATTTCCTCGATTAATCATGTCTTCAGACCCTCACAAAGTTGTGATAGTTGATGAACTTACTATTTCTACTTCCCCTACTAGAAGTAGGAGAGGTGGTAGAATTCGTAGTCTTGGTTCACTATCTAATCGAGGTTCTTCTTCCCAAAGTGGTTCCGTTAAGCCATCTTCTTCAAAATCTAGAGCTCCTTTAACCCTCAAATCTTCTTCTAGAAATAGGAACCTAAATGAACCTGTGCGTGAACCCATAGTTGCAGAGATTGTTCCTCAAGAGTTTTCTTTTGTAACAGACCGTGAGACCATGAGAAACCAAGTTTCTTATATAGCTTCCCTTAACCCAAGCTTAATTATTGCTCGTCTTCTTTCCTTCCAAGTTTTAGTCCCTGGCGCTAGCCAAAGAATCATTTCTTACCATGCCAGTTTCTATTTATACCTACCCTTTTACTTTAGGGTTTAAGCCTTCCATTGATCCAGTGATCATTGAGTTTTGCCGCTACTTTAATGTGTGCCTTGGCCAGATCGGCCCTATCGTTTGGAGGGCTGTTGCATGCCTCCGTTATTTGTCAAATTTGGTCTCCGTTCATTTCACCTTTCGACACCTGCTTCATCTTTACTCTCTCAAGTTGTTTCGTGAAGGAGTTTTCTCTCTTGTGGCTAGGAGTAAAAGAGTGTTGGTTAGCCCCAAAAATGATCGGGACCGCGGATG